TATTAGAATGAATCAATCTCTCTGAGTCTCAATTCCTCATCTATAAAATGGAGATATCTATGTATCGTCTTACAGTTATGGAGATCAGAACTAATATATGCAATATGCCTACCACAGTGCCGGGTACATAGTAGGCACTTGAAAAATAGTAATTTAAAATCATTAAGGGTAATTTTTATTCGTTAAAATCTACCAGTATTCTAAGGTATGTCTAAATTAGAATGATAAAATGTAATGATTCTCCAACACTTTATTACTGAATTTGTGTTGTCATTTACTTAATGCTGAAGAAACTTGGTGAATGTGGGAGCAAATTTCCCCTCAACATTTTATTATGAAAAATTTCAAACACGCAGAAAAATTTAAAGAATTATACAGTAAATACCTGTGTAACCCACCTAGGTTCTTCAGTTGACATTTTACCATGCTCGATCACATATCCATCCATCCATCCATCCACCCACCCACCCACCCACCCATCCTTCCTTCCATTCATCCATTTATCAATGAGTCTTATTTTTTTATGCATTTTAAAATTAAATTGCAGACATCAGGATGCTTCCCTGTAAATACTTCAGCACTAATGAGAGTTTAGAATTTGTTTACAATTCTTTTTAAAAAATTACTGAAGTAAAACTTACATTCAATGAAATGTACAAGTCTTAAGAGTATACCATTCAAAGAGTTTTGGCAAGTGCGTAACTCAAACCCCTGAAAAGATGCAGAACATTAATATCACTCTAGAATGTTCTCTCATGCCCCTCCAGTCAATCCCTGTCCCCATTCCCCCAGAGGCAAATGCTACTTTTATACTGTTTTTTATGACAAGGTAGTTTTGCCAGTTCCAGAACTTCATATAAATGGAATCAAAGAGTTTATACTGTTTTGTGTCTGGCTAATTTGCTGAACTTACTTTTGAGGTTCATTGTGGTGATATGTATCAGTGATTTGTTCCTTTTTATTGCTGAGTAGGATTCACGATATGAATATTCTACAAAGGATCCATTTTTCTGTTGATGGACCCCTGGGCTGTTCCAGTTTTGGGCTACTATGAATAAAGCTTCCATGATTATTCTCCTACAAATATATTTCTGTATATATAATTTCATTCATCTTGGAGTGGAATTGCCAGGGTGGCTGAGTATTTAGCTTCATAAGAAACTGCCAGCCCTTTTCCCAAACATCTTAACTAAGTATAGTCACAACTAAAATTTATTGAATGTTTTCTGTGGGTGCTGAGCACAGAGCTTTAGTTAATGTATTTCACTTGATTCTTACATCCAGACTATGGGGTAAATGTCATTGTTCCCATTTTACATATGAGATAACTGAGGCACAGAGAGTTAAATAACTGACCAAGGTCACATGGCTAGTAAGCAGCTGAGCTTGGATCTGGATCTAGGCAGGTTGGACTCTAGCTCCTATACGTCATGCCTCCTAGAATAGAGTAGTTAAAAAAAAAAAAAAAGTGGCTATTTCTTTTCTCAGGAAATTAATTAACTTCCTAAGAATAAAAAATTGGTCATGGTAACCAATTTTAACAAGAGATAACTGGAACAATAATAACAAGAGATGCTGTGTTCATCAATAAACACAATATAATGTAATATAATGTAAATTCTCACCACTATTTAGAGATGGTGTGCATGGTTAACAGGGAGGTAGATAAATTCATTTATCAAGGTCCCTTTATCCTCCTGAGAGGTTCCTCAAAGTTATCTTCAAAAATGCCCCATGTCTCTAGCCCTGCACAATCTACGTAGCTTCCCTTGAGAATAAGTGAAGTGTTAAACCACTTCAGAGTCTCTTCCTTGGGCTGGTTAATAAGGGCATGATGCCTCTCCTCTATAATTACCAGAGGAGCCTGAGGCTTATTGGAGAGGTGCATATCAGCTGTAATGAGGTGGGGCAGGAGAGCGTTCCCTCCCACGATTTTTCTAAACTCATAGAGGCTCAGTCTCAGGCCCAGACCTGTTTTGGAATATCTCTAGGAAACTTGAGGCAAGAAGGAGGGCCACAGGGAACACAACGATTCTTTTGGGCTAAGAGCCCACCTCTCATCTATGACTCTTGACAGCCTAGCCTCCCTCTCTCATCTTTGAAAAGCTCTCTAAACCAGGGGAAGTTTTGAAAAAGGATGCTGGAGATTGGAGTTGTTGATTGGGGAAGGCTGGGAGTCCGAGTCTTCGGAAAACAGACGTTAGGTCTACACTTTCATTCTGGCTCATAAGCCAGGAGACCAAACAAAAGCCAGGAGAGTAAGTGGTGGTTGGTGTCCCAAGACTTTCCTTCTCGTTTTTAATGGTTCTGGGAAATACCAAAGTAATTCTATTTCTAGAGATGCTCTTCTCGGGTCACATATTAGCCATCCCCAATGGTTATATTTGTCAGGATCAAGTCCACACTCCTTAGGATGGTGGATGAGGGCACTGTCCAGGTGGACCTAGCCTCTCACCTGGCCTACCACTCCTCCCTGTGATCTAGGTTTGAGGAATTGCATGCTAGTCCCTGTGGGTACCACATTCCCACCCATTTGTTCCAATAGGAAGGCCTTTGTTTCTCCTCTTTCCAGAATTCCTATTCATCCTTTAAGGATTGAATTTGAAAATCAAGAATGTGGTAATTATTTGTTTACTTCACCTGCCTATCTTATATGATTCCCTCCCAGGTAGAAATATTCTATGTATGTCTGAATTTTTTCTACTAAAAACATATGAACAGAAACTTTTGAGTAAACGAATGCTTTATTTGATCACTCTAAGAGCTAAATTATTTGTTTTCCTTGCTCCACAGAATGCTAATTTCATCTTAGCTGAAAAAAAGATTTTCGCCTAAGATGTTGAGAAAGATAACTTTTACAAATATTGATACAGGCCCACTGTCCCTTCAGTCTCCTGCGCCCCCAGTGAGTCTCCTGCTGGCTAAGGTCTAGATGCTTACTAGAAACCATTTTCTGGGAAATGTGTAGAGGGATGGGACAGATGAGATTCTTTCAAAAACTGTTGGTGTGTCACAATTTTAAATGACAATCAGGATCTTTCTCTGGAAAAGTTTAGAAAGAAAATGGTGTCTCTGAAAACGTTTCTTTTTAATTTCCAGAACTCCTCTTCCTTTCCTTCCATTTGCCTAGACACAAACATAACTTAGGCCTTATGTAGCTGCCTTCAGTTTTGGTCTAAGTCTGGCTGACTGACGTCCAGAAAACTGTGAGGGGCAAACATCCTTTTTCTTTAGCATTTTCTCTTCTTAACCTTCTACCCTTGGCCTCTTCCTTGCCCAGTGAGGTGAAATGGTTGACCGTGAAGCCACTCCTGCTAACTGGAAGCAACTGGGCATTGCCAGGCACTAAGCCAGGAACTTGAACTCAGCAGAGAAGTGGGATCTGGATAACTCCTGCCCCTCAGAGCAAGGCTGGCAGCCAGCTCATGGGCATTTGGCTACCTGGGGGAGGGATTTCTGCTCCTGACAACAGGCAGTTTGTTCAGTTCTTCCTGCCCTGATTCTTCTCCTGTTGCTTTTCACTGCCTCCCTGAGCTGTTTGGTAACTCTACCTCTCACAAGTTTTTGCAGTTTGCTGTAGACTTCAAAATCCTGGCTCTACCTCTCCTTCCTCTGTAGCTGCATTTCCCTGCAAAGTTGGAAGCCAACCAAGATCAAGTTTCTGTAACTCTTTTTCTTTCAGGGTCCTGGAGCTGAACTCTTCTGACCTACATACCCGAAAGGCTGTATCTTATCCTTCCTCACCACCATTTGAAAAGTTCCCACAGCAGACTGATTTTAGGTCCCTTTCTGACCTAGAAGCTGACAAAGGCGCCAAACAGTTTTCAGAAACTCTCCCCATGCTAACAGATTTTCACTAGCACACAGCTGGTCTGCATTTGGGGCAGCCTCTGTTTTCTGAGTTCCAACACAATGGATTTTTGTGGTTGTCTACCTGTTTTTGCTCCATGCCCATGACATCTTTCTCCTGTTACTGTTTTCTGCACTTCTGTATTCTCCTCTCTTTTGGTAGAATTTTCTCCTTTCTTCCCTCTTTATGATGTTTTATTTCTTTCTACTCACCCTGCCGCATTCTCTTGTTCCTGCCACCCTTTTTTGCTCTGGTTTCAACTAGGAGATTTTATGAGTGACTGAAGAGTTTCTAGACTGCTAATCCAGGGATAAGGGCAATCTATCTCTTTTCAGGGTTAGATTCCCAGTCCAGCCTACTTCTTAACTGCATGTGTAAGCTTCATCCCCCTCCTACCCATGTTTCTGTGCCGCTTCATTAATCTGTAACGATGACCCACCCTCTTTCCAGACAAGGAGACATCTTTTCTTGTTTAGATTACTCAGCTCTTTAGACTTCTCAGTCAGTTAGCTATTCTAAAAATGGCCGATGAAATCCGAGGCACAACAAAGTTATTACGAAAACCTTTTCCTTGAAAGCCCTGTGTCTGATTGCTCATATTAGCTGATATTTGGTGGAAAGAGCACTAGATTTTTAAGAAAAGTTCTGGTTTTGCCACATGGTAGCTGTGCAACCTTGGACAAATCATTTACCTTCCTCGGGTTCTTAGCGTCCTCACTGGTCAAATGGGAATGCTTCATGGGGCGTTGCGGAGATGAAATAATCAGCAGGAGAGCACTGTGTAGATTGCACTGGGATGGTAGGGTGAACGAGCAGGGATGGTGTCCTGATTTGTCTTTAAATTCTTCAAAGGTAAAGGATTGTTAAACGTGGAGATTTGATTTGGTTTGTTTCTGCCAGGTCTCCTGGAAAGCTACAAACTAGAAGAAGTGTAGAAATCCTTGTGGTAACAAGGGTATCAGCTTTTTGTCCACAGAGAGTCTTAAGGAATTCCGACTCCCATTTTGAAATTGTATCGAATCCAATCCCAGGGCAATGTGGCCCTGGGGTGGTGCTTCGAGAAGTGGAATCACTGCAGGACAGTTTCAACATTCACTTCCCAGGCAAGCCTAAAGCCTGTTTTAAAAGGGCGTGTAGGGGCCAAACCCATAACAGTCTGGGATATTTCAGACTGGCACCACCTCCTCTGGCTGTTTCCGAGGCCATCTAGAGGCCACAGCCCAGTCAGCTTAAATGAAAGTAAAGAGAGGGCTGCGGGAGTTTGGGACCTTTGTGCAGATGTGCTCATGCTCGTTAGAGTAGAGGGCGGGAGAGAGGAAAGGAAGGAGGGCATTGGGAGCCGAGGCCCCTCCTTTCATTTCAGAAAAGTGCACAGGCAGAGCGGGCTGAGTCACAGGCACAGGTGAGGAACTCAACTCAAACTCCTCTCTTTGGGAAAACGCGGTGCTTGCCCCTCCCGGAGTGGCCTTGGCAGGGTGTCGGAGCCCTCGGTCTGCCCGGTCTGGTCTCTGGGGCCAAGGCTGGGTTTCCCTCATGTATGGCAAGAGCGCTACTCGTGCGGTGCTTCTTCTCCTTGGCATACAGCTCACAGGTAAGAGCCGGCGGGCTTCTCTCAGCGTTTCCTCCTTCACTGCTCACTCTATAAAGTTAGCTAATTGTCTTAGAAGTTGCAAGACTTTTGTTTGGGAGTCTGAGCCACAGATACAGTTTGTTTTACTTTGGATTTTACTGAAACCAAAGTTGGTGGACTGTTTTTGGAGAACTGCTCTCGGACAAACAGGTTTAGGTGTGTTCAGCTGCCAGTGAATCAGGCACACAGAGGGCTTTCTAATCTCAGGTTACAGGCCATTTTTGTGTGTGTGGCTGTTCTCAACCTCCCACTGCTGGCAGGACTTGGCATTTGGATTTCTGTGTGTGGGTCTTGTCTGTGACTCTCAGCAACATCAGGAAAGTGGAGATTGTTAGAGAGAGACCTACTGTGGTTTTGAAAGTGCCCCAACACACACATTCTAAATGTAAATATCAAGGTAAAAAAAAATGCCACGTGGTATAAAGGTTCCAGGGGTGCAGGTGAACATAAGCTGTCTGGAGTTGATTCACTCGGTTTCTGCAATAGACTAGTAACCGTACGAAATCCACATAAGGACCCGTCTGGAAAACTTACCTGCTAGGAGACCACTTTACATACAATACATAATACTTAACCTTAATACATAATGTAATGTCTAATCAATGTTATGATTCGTTTTAATTTTTTGTTTACGCTTTCAATTCTATTTGCGGATGTTTGTAGTTTGTGATAACAGTTTTGAAGTCAGTACCACGAGGCGAGGCTATCACGCTGTGCAGAAAGCAAGAGCACTATGAAGGCTTGCTGTGTGGTAGTTTAGTTGTCACATGGAATGGGAGGGTCCAGATTGCATACGGGTAGGAGTACGTAGATTCTGGGTGAAAAGTTTGGGAGCCGGGGCATCTCAGTTTCACTTCACTTTAAGTCCTACTCAGATATTTATTTTGGAAGTGTCAGCAGAAGTTCTCACAATACTACATCCCCTGTTAACCCTTCTTTTTCTTCTTTTTCATTGCAGCTCTTTGGCCTATAGCAGCTGTGGAAATTTATACCTCTCGGGTGCTGGAGGCTGTTAATGGGACAGATGCTCGGTTAAAATGCACTTTCTCCAGCTTTGCCCCTGTGGGTGATGCTCTAACAGTGACCTGGAATTTTCGTCCTCTAGATGGGGGACCTGAGCAGTTTGTAAGTAGATTATTGTCATTTTCCAGGGTACTCTTGGTTAGGGAAATAATAAGCCAGTCCATTTCTCCTTTCCCTTCCAGTATTTTTCTTAGCAGCAAGCACAAGGTTAAGCTGGGAAACAATTCCTGGGACAGAGACTGAGAGGCCGTTGAAGGGGAAAGCAAGTGACGGAGCTGCAGACAGGACGGTTGGGTTTGCTGGTGTTTCAGTTCTGCTCCCACCATCTTGGTCTCCTTGCCTGGGTGCTGAGTAAGAAGACCTTTTGCCATTTCCCCTCTCTAGGTATTCTACTACCACATAGATCCCTTCCAACCCATGAGTGGGCGGTTTAAGGACCGGGTGTCTTGGGACGGGAACCCTGAGCGGTATGATGCCTCCATCTTTCTCTGGAAACTGCAGTTCGACGACAATGGGACATACACCTGCCAGGTGAAGAACCCACCTGATGTCGATGGGGTGATAGGGGAGATCCGGCTCAGCGTCGTGCACACTGGTAGGTTATTCAGGGAACAGTGGTTTTGGAAAGGATGAGAGCTTGTAGAAAAGAAAGGGGCAATCATTGTTAAGGCTGAGAGAGAGGGACAATCTTTTTTGATGGATAGAGAGAGGGACTAGCCCTTCAGAACTGGGAGCCTCAGAGGGAGACTGAAGAGTTCTGGGGTAAAAAGAGAAAGGCTTTGTTTGGCCCTGGAAAGAAACAGAAAGTAAAGCAAAGGAACTCAGAGAATCCGTTACAAAAATGGCATTGAGATTGTGAAAGGGAGAGGGAGAAATTCTTTGATAAAAGGCTTACAACAGGTCTGTTCACTCGCTCATTTATTCGAGACACTTACTGAGTACCTACTCCAATGCTAGGCACTGTCAAAAGTGCATGACATACACTATCTCATTGAACCCCCACACCACTCTAGGAGGCAGGTACTAATAATGGTAGCTAACACTTACTGAGCACTTCCCAAATGTCAGGGGCTTTACGTGACACATTTTATTTAATCTTTACATATCTCATCAGTTTATTGTGCATTTAATGCCTCCCATCTTGCCAACGAGGAAACGAGGCTCACAGAGGTTAAGTCACTTGCCCTGAGTCATGTAGCTGATAAATGGAGTAACTTAGGACTCAAACCCAATCAACTCTGAATCTAAAACTGTGTTCTAAACTGGTGCATTCTATTGTCTGTATCCCTATAAAGGACAATCTGGAAAACCATGCCAAGCAACAAAGAGCAAAGCACACGAAACTTACAAGTTGTAGATCTGGGTTTGAGTCATTGCTACCATTTACCAGCTATCAATAAGTCTTATTTTCCTCATCTGTAAAGTGAGAATAACACAGTGAGGATCATGATGAGGATAAAATGAGATAATAAATGTGAATATGTCCCAACCTCTGAATTGTACTTAATAGCTACCATACACTGAGTGTTTATTTTGTACAGGCACAGCATGGAACAACTTACATGAATTATTTTATTTTTTATTAAGAACTCAACAGATGAATATTGTTATCTCTATTTTATACATGAGGAAACTGAGGCTCAAAGAAGTTAATTACTTCAAATCACACAGCTAGGTATTTCAACCTAGTGTTCTCTGGTGTGTGCTCTTAACCAACACTACTCCAAACATATAAGCCTGAGAAGCGGTATGATTTCCTTTCATTCATAGTACAGTTTGAAACCATTTCTCAACGCCCCACCAATAGAGGACTGTGTGACCTTGCCGAAGTCATTTGAGTATTGAAAGAAATAATGTAATGGTTTGGGGGCTTCAGTTTCTTCACCTGCAAAATGAACAGGTTAAACAAACAAAAAATCAGTGGTTCTTAACATATGTGGGTAATTATTCTTTGAGAATCAAATGAAAGCCATGGCCCTGCTTCCCATAAAACAATGGAGACATACACAATGGATTCTGTGGGCTTGCAGACTACCTTCCATCCTTTTTCCCCACCCTCCTTCACAGAGTCAAGGCTGGGAACCCTGGGCTAGACATTCTCTAATGTCCTTTCTGGCTCTGAGGGCTTATGGAAGTATAATCAGCAATCAAGCTAAAGGACAAGAGAACCAGGGTTCACAGACTCTAGTGTGGCTTAGGGGACCTTCCCTCTGGTTTCCCTTTTCCATCATTTATCCACTAGACTGTAGCTTCTGATTAACTTTCCTATCCTCTCAGTGGCATGAGCTCCTTGAAGGTGATGTCTTTTTTGGCTCTGCATTTCTATCACAGTGCCAGGAACATAGCAGGCCCTCAATAAATCTGAATAAATGACTGACTGAGTGAAAGTGGTGAGAAGTCAGAGAGAAATGAGTTGGGCACTAGGTTTGATGAGGTTAGCAAAAACCTTACCCCATAGGTAGTTCAACCCACCCAGTGGTTTTCAAAGCTGCATCAGAATCACCTGGAGGACATGTTAAAACAGATTGCTCAGCCCCACCCCTAGTGTTTCTAATTCAGCAGGTCTGGGGTGGGGCCTAAGAGTTCCATGTTCTCAAGTGATATTGTTGCTGTTACTTCGAAGACCACACTTTGAGAACCACTAAAGTATGTGTATGGTTTTCCTATTGCTAGTAGGATTTACAAGGTAATATAGTATTTTATGCATAAAGATAGGAGAAAGGAAGATTCCATCTATTGATTAAACGCATCCCTATTATGTCATCAGATTTCATTGTAGTCCTCTTCTTTTTAGAATCCTAACTTAATCTTTTTCTCCTTACAGTACGCTTCTCTGAGATCCACTTTCTGGCTCTGGCCATTGGCTCTGCCTGTGCACTGATGATCATAATAGTAATTGTAGTGGTCCTCTTCCAGCATTACCGGAAAAAGCGATGGGCTGAAAGAGCTCATAAAGTGGTGGAGATAAAATCGTAAGGCTGGGCAGTTCTGGGAAAGTTCTAACACTCTAATGGGGACTCTTGGTATTTTGCAATGGGCTAAACAGTTGCTGAACAGATGTTTTTCCCTTTAAGTAAATCCTACATAAAAGAATTCACATTTGCAGGACAGATAAATTAGGTATGAACTAGTAACTTTACAAAAGCTTTCTCAATTTTACAAAATATTTCCTTATATGATTTCTTTACTATGGCGGGGGGGGGTTGATTTTATAAAAATCTGGTATGTAAAGCTTTTCTTAAAAATCCCTTATGTTTAAAGTGAAGCATACATTTGTAAAACCCACTGGGCTAGGCAGTCAGCAGGGCCACTATGAGTCAGTGCCTAGGAAAGTCTGTTGTGCTGATAGCAGGTGTTCATTAAACGTATTTTAAAATTGAGATAAAATTTACCTACCATAAAATTCACTCTTTTCATGTTCACAAAGTTGTGCAGCAATCATCACTGATTGCAGAACCTTTTTAAGCTTCCTCCCCTAAAGAAACCACATATCCCTAGCTATCACTCCCTATTATCCCCTCTCACCAGCCCCTGACAACTACTCATCTACTTTCTGTCTCTATGGATTTACTTATTCTGGACATTTCATTTAAATAGAATCATACAATATGTGGCCTTTTATGCCCAGCTTCTTTCACTTAGCATAATACTTTCAAGGCTCATCCTTGTTGTAGTATGTATTAGTATTTTTTTCCGTTTTATGACTACATAATATTCCATTGTATGAATATATTGTTTGTCCATTCAATTGATGGGCATTTAGGTTTTCTCTACTTGTTGGCTATTGTGACTAACGCTGCTATAAACATTCATTTACAAGCTTTTGTGTAGATCATATGTTTTTAATTCTCCTAAAAGTGGAATTGTTGGGTCATATGGTAACTCTGTCTAGTTTTTGGAGGAATTGCCAGACTGTCTCTAAACAGCTGGACTATTTTGCATTCCTATCAGCAATATATGAGGGTTCTGATTTCTCCACATCCTCCTCAACACTCATTATTGTCTTTTTTTAATCATAACCATGTATTAGGCCGTTCTTGCGTTGCTATAAAACAAACAAACAAACAAACCTAAGACTGGGTAATTTATAAAGAGGAGATTTAATTGGCTCACGGTTCTGTAGGATGTAGAAGCATGGTGCCAACGTTGGTTGGCTCCCGGGGAGGCCTCAGGGAGCTTTTACCGATGGCAGAAGGCACAATGGGAGCAGGCATTTCACATGGTGAGAGCAGGAGAAAGTGAGAGAGTTGGGGGAGGTGCCACATAGTTTTATAGGACCAGGTTTTGTGAGAACTCACTCACTATTAAAGTGAGTGTCCTTTGAAGTGAAGTATAGTGTCCTTTGAAGAACAAAAATTAAATTTTGTGAAGTCCAATTTATCTATTTTTTCTCTTTTGCTGCTAATGCTTTTGAGTCTCATCTAAAAAATCATTGCCTAATCCCCAAGACCATGAAGATCTATGGCTATGTTTTCTTCTAAGAGTTTTATAGTCTTAATTTTTACATTTAGATCTTTTGAGTTTTATTTTGAGTTCGCTTTTGTATATTGCTGAGACAGAAGTGCAAATTCACTTTTTTGCATGTGGATATCTAGTTGTTCCAGCAACATTTATTTCATTTCCTTAATAAGTAATTACTGAAATAAACAGACCTAATTTTTTTTTTTTTTTTTTTGAGTCAGAGTTTCGCTCTGGTTGCCCAGGCTGGAGTGCAATGGCATGATTTTGGCTCACTGCAACCTCTGCCTCCTGCATTCAAGCGATTCTCTTGCCTCAGCCTCCCAAGTAGCTGGGATTACAGGCATGCACCACCACGCCCAGCTACTTTTGTATTTTTAGTAGAGATGGGGTTTCACCATGTTCGTCAGGCTGGTCTTGAACTCCTGATCTCAAATGATCTGCCTGCCTCGGCCTTCCAAAGTGTTGGGATTACAGGCATGAGCCACCATGCCCGACCAAATAGAACTGATTTTAAGAAGCCTAAACAAACTCAACTCTGAGGTTCTAGTTTGAATAGAATCAATAAAGATGACTTAGGTCAACATAAAACTTTTTTTTTTTTTTTTTGAATAACAAATATAAATTAGAGGTGGGATACTCATGGTAAAATAAGGTGTCTGCTTTAAAACTCTGGAGTTCCCGAATCAGAATCCAAACTGTATCCTTTACATTCTGAAAAGTCTCTAAGTTCAGAGGTGTGACCATTATTAATTAGATGGCACCAGTTTAGCTCTGTGTAAACTTCAATTGACTCCCAAGTGCATGTAATTCTTCCAAAAATATGGGGGGAAAATACTTTACTTGAAGCTTCTGTGGGATTTGCCTACTTGCTTCTTGTCTTGTTCACCTGACATTCGGTTTCTGCTTCTTTGTTACAGAAAAGAAGAGGAAAGGCTCAACCAAGAGAAAAAGGTCTCTGTTTATTTAGAAGACACAGACTAACATTTTTAGACGGTAAGGTTCACAAATAGGTTGATTTCTTTCCTCAGCTTTCTGACGTGTCCAGCCCATCTCTAATGAGGACTCCCAGATCACTTTATGGCTGTTAGGTGTCTCCCATATGAAATTAGAGGAGCTGGGTCAGGGAGACAAAAGTCTTCTGTTAGTCTTATGGATAGCTCCTCCTTCGAGTGTATTTTGTGCAAAAGATTAAGAAGTTGGACTGTACTGCCATTAAAGCTGAGAGAATTCTAAGGTTATTTGTGGCTTCGGGGTTATATTTATTACTACTACTACCAATAAATATTCAACAAGTAAATAAATCTTTTTTAAATCAAAAGATTAGCATCTGCTTATTCTGTTTTTTTTTTTTTTTTTTAATTGTAAACCAATTATGGTATTAAGAGAGTGACTCAATAGATGTATCTGGCAGTTTTTACAGGAGAGCTTTTGTACTATCTGCAATTGATTTCAACTCTTCTCATTTAGTTATTGGCACTAATAACTACATGAAATGAATCCAGTTTTAGTGGTGTATAATTTTATTTTTCCAGTTTTCAGGTTCATCGGACTTAAAAAGTAGGATAATTTATTTTTCTTTTCTTTGTTTTTGAGACAGGGTCTCAATCTGTTGCCCAGGCTGGAGTGTAGTGGTGCGATCTCAGGTCACTGCAACTTCCCCCTCCCAGGCTCAAGTGATCCTCCCACCTTAGCTTCCAAAGTAGCTGGGACCATGGGTGCGGGCCACTACACCCAGCTAATTTTTGTACTTTTTGTAGAGATGGGGTTTCGCTATGTTGCCTAGGCTGGTCTCACTTGAGCTCAAGCGATCCACCTGCCTCAGCCTCCCAAAGTGTTGGGATTACAGGCGTGAGCCACTGCACCCGGCCAATTTATTTTTCATATGCTCAGAATTTCTCCCATTCTCTGAAATAGGTCCACACATTTAATTTCTAGATGTTATAAATCCAGACATGCAAACAAATTTTACACTCATAAGAAAGTTCTTGATATTAATGACTTTATCCTGTAAAACTCTGGCTCTCTTACATGGGAGAAAATTTTTATAGACCATTATTAGTTGCAAAGAGGGTCACATTTTTATAGGCTAAAGCTCCAGTGAAAGACCTCAAAGATTTATAAAATAAAATATGGAGAAAAATGATCGTATTGTAAAATCAGAAAACCAAAATTAACATCAGGGAGTTTTTACCAACCAACGGTTATTGTCTTTTTAAAATTAAGGGGATTATCTAACAAGTTGGGGTCATGGAAAATAAATATGGGAGATGTTTTAAATCAAAAGAAACTTAAGAGATGAACACAATCAAAGCACAATGTGTGATCCCCAACTGAATGAATAATAGTGTGAACAAGCTTGTTGTAAAAAAAAAAAGCTTAGAGGGACAATTGGGAAAGTCTTGAATATGAAAATGTTAAATATATGGATAATATTAGGGAATTATTTTTAATTTGTATTAAGTATAGTGATGGTATTGTAGTTATACAGAAAATGTACCTATTTTGAAAAATGCTTACTGGAGTATTTAGGCGTAAATGTCAGCAATTTGCTTTAAAAGCACAGGAAAAAAGCAAATAAAACAAAAAAGGCTTCAGAATTAGGTGATGGGACAGATGAGGTAAGAAAAGAAAAGAATGAATTAATGAATTTAAGGGATGGGTAAATTCCACACACTCTCTTCTCTACTTTTCTGTATGTCTGATTTTGTTTGTAATGAGAGTGAGAAGTGGGGAGAATATGGAATGTATGTGTGTGAGCAAGTTGTGGGTCATCCAAGTGTCCATGCAAGGTACTTAGAGGCTATGATTTAAGGATACTAACTCTGAAAATTATGTAATAAGGATTAGGAAACTTCTTTTAAAAATTAAATTGGGGGAGAATATGAATATTTTCCCTCAGAATATTTTCTTTCTAATAACATATATGTAATTCATAACGCCAAGTATTCCTATTGCACTCTTCTCAAATATGTTATCCATTTAAACTTTTGTTTTGTGTTTTAGGAAGCTGATGATTTCCAAGAACAAGAACCCTAGTGTTTGTTGAAGTTAATGGAAACTTTTCTTTGGCTTTTCCAGTTGTGACCTGTTTTCCAACCAGTTCTACCGCATATACAAGCAACATCCCTCTGGAGCCAGCACAGTGCTCTTCCATATCACCAGTCATACACAGCCTCATTATTAAGGTCTTATTTAATTTCAGAGTGTAAATGTTTTCAAGTGCTCATTAGGTTTTATAAACAAGAAGCTACATTTTTGCCCTTAAGACACTATAGTGTTATGACTTGTATACACATATATTGGTATCAAAGGGGATAAAAGCCAATTTGTCTATTATATTTCCTTTCATTTATTTCTTTTAGCAGCACTTCTGCTACTACAGTTAATGTGTTTACTCTCTTTCCTTCCCATTATTCTCAATTAAAAGGTGAGCAAAGCCTCCTCGGTGTTTTTGACTAACAGTAAATCGTAAATTCAAACTGTTAAATGGCAATTTGATTTTTATGTCTCTCCTTAACTAGGAGACACATCTTGTTTTAATGAATTTCTTTCAATATTCCAGGTGATAGATTTTTGTTGTTGTTTTGTTAATTAATCCAAGATTTACAAAAGCACAGCGCTAAATCACACAGTAACTACAAAAGGTTGCATAGATATGAAAAGACTGGTAGATGCCATTGCAGGATGAATCACCTGTCACTTTTCTTCTGTGCTGGGAAAAATAATCAACAATGCGGGTCTTTCATGAGCAGTGACAGACTGTTTAGCTTACTATGTTGCCCCCCAGTTCAATGATCTATAATAACAGAGCAAAGCCTATGCTCATTTGCAGACTGGAATCATTAAGCAGTTTAATAAAAATATCGTGAAACAGTATATTACAAGTTTGAAAATTCAGGGCTGGTGAAAAAAATCAACTCTAAATGATGATAATTTTGTACAGTTTTATATAAAACTCTGAGAACTGGAAGAAATTGTTAACTTTTTAAAAAAAATTCTAATTCACTTGTTTATTTTGGGGGAGGAAGGCTTTGATATGGAGCACAGAAATACCAAAACTACTTTAAATGGAAAAAAAAAATTTTATTCTTTCTTTCCCCTATACTGGTAGATAAAGCAAACTTTATAAGTGGGCTATTGAAAGAAAAGTGCCTTTTAAAAGTGTTTAGTTTCCCAGTGTCTTTTCCAAGCCTCAGATACAGAAGTATTTGTTCAAAGGATAGAAAACATCTAAAAGTTTAGGCTCAAGATCAATGTTTACAGACTGATATTTTCAGTTTTTAATTGACTGGGCTGCAGATGTTATTTCTTTTAAGAAACTGGAATTTTCAAAAATTATCTGTATTTAAATGTATGGACCTTGATATTTTTCCAATACTATTTTTTAAAAAATTGTTTGATCTACATATGAACCTCAATTCTGAAATTCATTACATATCTGTTTCATTCTGCCTTTTATACTGTCTAAAAAAGCAAAGTTTTAAAGTGCAATTTTAAAACTGTAAATTACATCTGAAGGCTATATATCCTTTAATCACATTTTATATTTTTTCTTCACAATTCTAACCTTTGAAAATATTATAACTGGATATTTCTTCAAACAGATGTCCTAGATGATGGTCCATAAGAATAATGAAGAAGTAGTTAAAAATGTATGGACAGTTTTTTCAGCAAAATTTGCAGCTTATGTCTTGGCTAAATAGTCAAGGGGTAATATGGGCCTATTGTTTAGTGTCTCCTTCCTAAAGAGCACTTTTGTATTGTAATTTATTTTTTATTATGCCTTAAACACTATGTAAATAAACCTTTAGTAATAAAGAATTATCAATTATATAATTTGTGCATATACATATCTAAAAGTTCTACACTGCAGGGAAAACAGATGGATATATATTTTATCTTTACTGAAAAGTTTTCTTAGTAGAGACAACCTAAAAGTCAATAATGGATACATTAGTTTCTACTGGGTAAACAGAAGTATACGGATTTCCACAGAATTTTCACATTGCTTTGGATAGCTGGGAATTGGGCATAACAACACTACTTAGTTTGAGCGTTCTTTCAAAGAAAAGTATCAAAGATTATATTTAGTACTTTGCATTACATTTTTAATAGGGAAAACTACTGGCTTTCAAGTGCAGTAAAGGAATGGAAATTGAAAAATGGAAACTTATTCTTTCCCAAAGCGAAAGCATACTTTTATTCTCCTGCTTTCATTGACACGTGGCTATTTCCAGGGAAGAGGCTTACTGATTATTACAGCAGTGTACTTATTGTACCATCTCTTTTTCAGAAGTATGTGATGCCACCTCACTTCAAGTACTGTGATAACATAACTTTCTTACTTTTCCAACCAAAGACACACAAATCCCAGTTCTCCTTTTCCTCTAAAACAGGCTATAATGATTTGATCATCATTGCCACTGCCAAAAGTAATTTAATAAACCCCCAATTTTGGATGCTGTGATAGTTACCCTAAAAAGGACAACAACCAATGAGGCTTGTGGCACATATCACTACCAGCGCCTAATATATATTTATCTATGCTGTATGATCTCCCAGGTGTTTCTGAACTCTAAATTTACGGGAGCGTATTCTGAGAACCTTCAACTAAATCTCGAGACGTAAAAAACGATGTCTGATATGCAGAGCATCAAAATTATTTAGTTCTGCAGAATTCCACAAAAACAAACTTGTAAATATTTAAAGTCTGTAGCCTACTTCATTTTCAAGCAAAATAGAAAAATTAGCTCCCGCCTGAAAGTTAATGAATCGCTGGTCAGTGAAACCAGGTGTGGTTCTGGAAAGAAGCCAGGTTCCTATGGTAACTTCGGATCGCCCTTTAAGTTGTCTCTCGGCCCCCTGCCCTGACGTCACTTCCGGCGTTACCTGTGTCGTTACTGGGAGCTGTAAACAAGGTGTGCAAGCATCTGGAGAGCTGCCGGGATGCAGCAGAGCGGAGCACCTGGAGGCCGTGGCTGCGCTCTCTTCCCTCTGCTCGGCGTCCTGTTCTTCCAGGGTGAGTGCTCCGGCTGGCTACGCTCCACTTCCGGCTTGGGGGGTTAGGGAAGATGGTCGCCTTTCCGGTTCCGGGTGGGGAGGGTCTCCGAAAAGCCCCCGCATAGCTCTGGGAGGGAAGGAGGGAGCGGGACGTTGGGACGATGTCATCACCACACCGTTGCGGGTAGTTGGTATTTTGTCAGTCCTTTTCTGAGCCTTGGGAGCTTTCCACCTTGCGTGACCTGTCATTGTAGTTTGGTGATGGCATACTTGATGGAACCACAAAGCGCTCTGGCTTTGGGAGCACTGGGTGTTATTTTGTGATGAGGTTGACTGCTGTGGTTTGGGCGCTGTATACCCTGATTAGAAAAATGACAGTTCTAGCATTCAGTAGTTTGTCCCAGTAGTTTTGGGAAACAAAATCATGACAGTTGGTAATTTTATTTTTTGTAGGTGATTATTGTGGTCTGTAAAATGAAATATTTGTTAGTCACAGAAGAGATGTGATGTGATTCATTATAGAAAATCAACTACTTTAGCATTTTAGTAACTTTTTTAATACAAGAAAGAGCATTTAATTCCGTTAAAATTTAATCTATTAAGTAGTATCAGAAGTAGGGTATTCACACTTGACATTCACATCTTAAAATTTAGGTGAGTTTTGCTTTCATATAATTTTCAAATTGCATAAATTTCAGTTCAACCTAATTACCTTCATTTTAATGTACTTCATTTTAATTTCCTGAATTTTATGTATGTGTGTCTTCCTGGGAAATAAAATATTAGTATATCTAGCATTAGAGTGAATTGCTAGCTTTATAAAATTTCCTTGAGGGTAATGGGGATTTCTGAAAGAGATATTTAATATTATATAAATATAAATACTTTAATGTAAAGACTTCAGGTGTCCTAAATCTTAGCAGATAAGGCTGGAAAGTTTTTATTTTAACTGGTGACTAATATTCATGTTGCCAGCACACCCCGTGATCCCTCCCAGCTGCCTGTGTCATCATAAGTCTCCAGTTTTTTAGCTAAATTACTTTGCCATATGGTATTTAGGCTGGCCTAGTGTCACTCCTGATACACCCAGTCCACTCTCTCTCTCTTTCACACACACACACGCGCGCACACACACACACACACACACACACACGACATACTCAAATATTGTCTTATTGAGAAAAAAAATCTGGAAATGGTGTTTTCTTAAATCTAATGTCATTTTGCTTTGAAGAGCATGTGTCAAGTCCAGCAGATGATATAATTCAATGAAACATTAAAAGTTGATTTTACGATCTCTGTGTACTTGTGGAATAGATATTTTGCCTTTTAAAAAATAACTGGTGGTAGGGTGTGTAGCTCTTGCCTGTAATCCCAGCACTTTGGGAGACTGAGGCAGCTGGATCACCTGATGTCAGGAGTTCAAGACCAGCCTGACCAACATGGTGAAACTCCGGCTCTACTAAAAAATACAAAAAAAAATTAGCTAGGCGTGGTGGCGGGCGCCTATCATCCCAGCTACTCAGAAGGCGGAGACAGGAGACTCGCTTGAACCCCATTGCACTCTAGCCTGGGTGACAAGGGCGAAACTCCGTCTCAAAAAACAAAAACAAAAAAGAAACAACTGGTTTATCATATTATTCACATGCCATACAATTTACTCTCTTAAGGGGCATAATTGAATGGTTTTTAGTATATTCACAGTTATGCAATCATTACCACGATCAATTTTAGAACATTTTCATCACCCCAAAGAGAAACCTGATACCCATTAACAATCGCATCTCATTCCCCATTTCTGTTTGCCCCTGGCAACCACCAGTCTATTTTTTTGTATCTATTGATTTGCCTATTCTGGACATTTTATATAAATAGAATAATATCTGTAATCCCAGCACTTTGGGAGGCCAAGGTGCGTGGATCATTTGAGGTCAGAAGTTTGAGACCAGCCTGGCCAACATAGTAAAACCCCGTCTCTACCACACACACACACAAAAATTAGCTGAGTGTGGTGGCATGCCCCTGTTATCCCAGATTCTTGGGAGGCTGAGGCAGAAGAATCACTTGAACCTGGGAGGCGGGAGGTTGCAGTGATCTGGGATTGCACCATTGTACTCCAGCATGAGTGATGGAGTGAGACCCTGCCTTTAAAAAAAAAAAATAAATAAACTAAATGGAATTACACAATGTGTGCTTTTGGTGACTGGCTTTTTTCACTTTGCATGTTTTCAAGGTTCATCCATTTGTTTGGTCTTTTAAATCTTATGTGGTAGAGTTTGGTTTCATGTCAGTGTTTATTTGCCTTTTGTTTTCAAAGATAAGGCCACTTAAATTATTAGATTATTTGAATTCACCTTAAGTTGTAAGTCTGGTCCTGCTATATCAGTTATCGAAGTATTTAGAAATGGTAGACTAGGGGACCTAGGGTTCTTAAACTTTTCTCTTTTTTACTTAAGTGTGCAATATGAATAAAATATCAGTAGATTTATATTTTAGAAAATGGGGCATACAAGATTGGGGGCTTTATTGACATGTTTAATTCTTTCATGTGTAAAATTACTTATGTTAAAATATGATTTTCTTGTTTTTCCCCCAAACAGTTTTTGTTAATTATTATGAATATTTCTATAGTTGGCTGTTTTTACCTGGCAAGAATGCTTTTCTGCTCAGATGAAGAAATAAGGGCATTAGGCCTGGGATGGACATTTCTGAGTGAATTAATGTGGGATTGGTATTTTTTTTTTTTTATGAGTGGAAGAGACAAACTATCTTACATCCATTGGTTTTAAATCATTTTTTAATTTCAGTATAATATATGTAGAGAAAAGTACACATGTCATAAGTGTATACAGCTCAATTTCAGAAACTGAACAC